TTTATCATTCCAGTTAATCAGTTAATAGAATCTGTAATTGTTCTTGTCAACTGGTAAAAAGTAACAAGTATCAGATTGGTTCCGTGTTTGGGATTTAACTCTGGTATAAACTGTAAAAATCATATATTTACGCTTCCGAGCTTATGAAAAGTATTGGATATTGCTGAGAATTCTACATTGTTCATAAAGTTGTTTTTCTGATTTAATTAAGAGTTTATTTAATTGAACAGTAAAAAGTTAGGGTTAATTCAAAGAGCTTGTTTTGGTTAACTAATTTAGATAAAAGAAATTATACTATAGCGTATTAGTTTTTCTCAGTACCAGCTTAGATAGAACACACCCTGAATAACCAGATATGAACTGATTGCGTGATTAGGAAAGTCGCAGCAGAACTGAAATCATTTTTATTATTTATTTTCGTTTAGTTTATTTTCACTGCAATTTTAGTTTTTAGTTTAATTTAAACCCCCCCCCCCTTCTTAATAATTTCTGTTTTGACTAGAATGTGTCTGATGCAAAAAGGCATTGATCGTTAGGCTGTGTCCTTGAGGATTCGACCATGCTTCCATGTGCCATATTATTAGTGCAACCAGCAGTGAAAAATTTATTTTCTTAATACGTGCGCAACAGCGTGTTAACATTATGTTATATTGATCTTGGGGATATTTGTATTTTATACTTGGTTTTGTTATGGGTTTTGTTTGACAACAATGGTTTCTTTTGATTTGAAAATGAAAATTTTTACTGTGACTTTAGAATGTTACAGTTACGTTGCCTAATTTTTGGTAGAAAATCTTCTTTACTAAAACTCTAAGTATAGAAAACTTAATAACTTAGGTTTTAAAGCCTAATATTATTTCTTGAACGATTTGAACTATTTAGTCGATTAATCGTTTTGTTAAAGTTTGGGACTTAAACACATGCACAAATTTCTAGGGTTGTTAAATATGGAACTTACTATTATGAGAAATACTTCATTCGTTAAGAACATAAAACTTAGTAACAGCCATCTGTGTTGTAATCGTAAATCCGTAAGGAACGTGCAACTTATTGGTATAGATCTATATAGGTTGACAGCTCCGCCTATGGTTTCTATCTACAACTGTTTTCTGACGAGTCAAAAGGGGCATAATTGTTCATCCTCTTCCTATTTCACGACGTTGATGAAACGTTGGTGATGATCGTGACACATCTATTTATTGTGCTCTGCAGAGGCTTTCTCGTTCGAAGTTTAGTTATAGGCTCATATTATAATTCATAAATTCATTCTAAAATGTGTAGGAATAAAATGAGAATAATTTATTCAAATGGTTAAATGTTGAATATTTATTTACATAATTAATGTTTATAAATATTCAATACGACACACTTATTTATTTCTAGCTTATGTTAATAAGTTATAATTGATAATCAAAACTCTTTTACTTGTATGTGATTACAAGTGTAAGCAAATTGCAAATTACTCTTTTATAACTCATTAGTTTTAAACATACTTTTGATTATAAATACACACTGAGTCAAGACTTGTAAAGTTCACCAACATTATTGTTCACGTATTGTTTTAAACATATGTATCTTCAGGAACTTAGGAGTTGGAAGAACACACTCTCTGTGTTATGAAGGATGCATTTCCTTGCAATAAATGGTTGGCCATTTTAGTAGGCTTTTTGTTCATTTCTTACGCTTTGCAGAACTTGCATTAGTATTTAGCGCTTTTGGGATTTGTTAAACAATGTAATTCTTCGTATTTATTCTCTGGAAGAATGTAATGTTATATAAATCCTGGTATTATTCAATATATGTTGTTTAACTGTGAACCAACGTTTACGTCACGACCCCGGCGTTTCCGCTGTCGCTCGGGGTGTGAAAAATGATAAAGTGATCAAAGGGTATTGATAATGTAAATAGATGACTGTCATTTTCCAATGATTCAAGGATAGTATCCAAGTGATGGTATCATTAGAAACTGTCTAATGATTATAGCTATCAGACTACACGAAGTGCAGCTCGCCATGGACACCGGACACGCCTAGGACTCACCAAGCTCGTCAACACTACCCCATGGACACGCGTAAGACATGCCAAGTAAAGAGACGGATACGTTGGTGAGCCAGCGAGAAGAAAGAGAAGGAAAGAGTCTTGGGTGTGGGCCTTTGACCAAACTTTAGTCAATTTCCAACAAATTTTTTTTTCTTAAAAAAAACTACCATTTTTATATAATTAAATTTTTTTATAAAATTCAAAATTTCGAACTTTCCTCCCACCCACTATAATAACAACTAGGTGAAGATGTTGTTAGAGACTATCAAGAGATCTGAGGGTATTTCTCAAATATAAATAAATAGGAGTGTGACTATCTAGAGATCCGAGAATAGTTCACCCAAAAAGTAATGTGGGGACATATTGAATGTGCAAGTAGTTGATGAAGTGAAAGTTACTGGTTATATTTGATATATCATTTCTTTACTATGTTTATTTTATTTTCGGTACACACTATGATGCCTTTGTCATGCAAGGGGGATGTTATGTTACTCTCTAATAGTGTTATCTTACCATTGTTTTTATGATGTATGTTACAGGGATATGTACAAACGATAAGAGGAAAGGGATGGATTAGATTATGGATAGCATCTGATACTTTTAGAAGATGTTTTTGTAGCTTTTTATTTACTTGTGGTATCACCCGATTAGGACACTTTGTTTAGTTTGTTGTAACTATGGCATTGATGATGTAGCTTGATATCCTATAGTTAATATGAAAGTATACCATCTTGTTTGAAGCATGTTTGAAATGAAACATATTTTTTTGTACTTTATATTAATGTTGGGGTGTTGTAAGATGTCGATGAGTTTACGATTGAAGTCTTCAGATTGTAAGAACACTTGCTAATATTTTATGGAAGATATGGAAAAGACACAAGGTATTATTAGACTTCGAATAATATATTTAGTTATATTACATCCTAAATCTTGTGCATGTGAAAAACTTGAGGATATTAGATATTAAAAATGAGCAAGGGTGAAATTTCCAAGGATACATTATAGTATTTACATTATAATATAATGCATGACTTCCGATGGTGCTAATCTACAAACATGTTAACCAAGCATGTACGAAAACACTTGATTAGTTACAATGCTTGTTATTTTTTTGGAGAATATTTTAAGAATCGGTATTACTTGTCCGTCTTTGTTACTAGTTGATATGTTAATTTCGGGATCATCGCATAGGGTTTTGGCGGCTAAGCATCAGATTACTATCCGACGTCGGATTTAATTAAATAACCATTAAAGGTGTTTTTCTAGTACTTAATTGTACTTTGGCTTCAATAATTGTTTTGATAATAATATGGTATTCCCACTAGGTGTCTTTTCCAAAAATACATTATAAATATATACACCACAACTTTATTTTAATGTTACAAAACTTTAAAATAAACATAAGCAAAATAAATGTAGGGCACGTTGGAACTCTCAACAAGGAGACACAAGACCTCATTTAGATATGTTTCGCATTGATGCACGATGTAGATTTGATGAATTTCAATTGAGTGCATGACATCATCCACCATTATAATTTGCACCTCTATTTGTAAACGTGGCATATGTGTGATTTCAATTTGCGAATACGCGTCATAATTCATGAAATCTACGACGGTTTGTTTAAGTACAGCATTGACTTAAAATGTAAATTCACGCCATAATTCGTCAAATCTATGATATTCATGAAGAAACGTGTCAAAAGATTCAAAGAATACTTCTAAACACTAGTTCTACAAAATTACGTTATGAATAGAGTAAAAAACAATTCTTAAAAGTAGAAAAACTACTACACCCACCTAAGATGTTGGAAATAAAAATATTTGAGTAAACATGAAAAATGGCACTTCACCAAACAATTACATCTTTTTCAAGTGAGTATATTAATAAAAACTTTAATGATAGTGGGAATACTTATCGTGATACCATTTCTATTGATTGAAATTGGGATAATTTCAAGTATTCAATATTTCTTCAGCCTTGGAGGAATATAAAAAATCGTAGAATGTTTAGGAAGATAACTTCTAAAAAGGTGCATGTATCTACATAATTTATCAGCTCAATTATTGGGGTTTTTTATGTAGAAGTCTCCTATTTTATAAATAAAGTTTTTTCATTATATCATACATTAAATGAGCATTACGCTTATTTCAAAATATAGAAAACATGTGCAATTCACATCTCAATATGATATTAACGTGTTATACTAAATTTTATCATCAAGACAAATACTAATAATAAAAATTCTTTATAAAAGGAAATTTCCATCCACCAAAGGATATCGCACAATAAATATGCACTTCCCAAATGATAAACAATCCGATATAACATACAAGTGTGGATTTTATTTTATTTGATCTTTTAAAGATAAGATACAATTACTACAAGGTTAACAAACTCATGGTACTTACAAAACTTAACAACTCTAGGTAAGTTCCTATGTTCATATTATTATACTAAAAACCAGAAATGTTTTATATTTCTTTTATTTTTATTTTTTGTAATTCATTGTGTTATCAAGGCTTTGATCCAATCAATTTTCAATCTGAAATCAACTGGGCCAGTTTGAAGGTAATGGGCCAATGGAATCTGCAATTTCATTCCAAACTTGTTCCTCATTAACATTCCAAAATGTTTAACAAAATGTATCTGAAACTTGCCTTTGCAACAACCCAATTGTGTCTAGGCACAGACACAAAAGCTTGCCATGAATTATCTTCCATTTGTCCAAAATCGAATTTACCTAACTTTCGGTGTAAATATGAAATAAATTTATAAAAATAAATAAATAAATAAATAAAACTTAAAATGTTTTTACATATTTTATATATGAGACTTACAGTAGATATATAACTCCTCCCATCTCCTCTAATTTTTAAGGCTATAGTATCGTAGGGGTCTAAATCGGTAAACCCGTCAAACTGTAGGGTGAGAATTCGAAAGAGAGATTGTTAGAAAGCTCAGCGGGTAAACATGCAAATAACAAAAGTAAAAGGGTTGACGTCGACCTTTTTAGACCTCATTCCACATAATCCACTCCAGCCAATATTCCATTTTGTACTATCCGTAACATCCAGAGATAGATTCATAGAGAAAACTCCTATAATCATTTAAAGAATTCAAGAATAATAATAATAATAATAATAATAATAATAATAATAATAATAATAATAAAGATAAAAAGAGATGAATTTATTTTTTATAAAATATATGTCAATTTTACTAACCAGTGCAACCACTCTGTTCCCTTCCAGCATCAGTGATCTCCAATGCAGCAGATGATAAACCTGTAAAAACAATAAATAATGTAGAAGAGTCCTGGATGTAATGTAAAAATTAAAGTAAATAGTAGATTTATATAAAAGAAAAAAAAATACACACCTCCATATTCAGAATCTGAATATAAATGCCATTTTTTAAGCTCTTCTTTAGAATTGAAGTGGTATATAAATCTCTCACTAGGAGGAAACATGTCATCAATGTTTCACGAGAGAGCTTCAAAACAAAAAACAAATACATATAATAAACAAAATCAATGAAAGTATATATTGCTACTAGCCGAATTCCCGCGTGTTGCACAGTGTAGGTTAAAAATATACTGTTAAAATGTTGAAAAATATATATTTAAAATTGTTATGTTATTGACATTAACTTTAATATAATATTTTGAACAATATTATTCATTGACATCAACCCACCTTCCTCATTAATAAAATTAAATATAATTATCTATTTAATATTAATTTTAACAATTGTTATGATTGATTAACTTAAATTTTTACTTATGCGATTATTTTCTAATTTCAATAAAGATGTTCATTTAAAATACAATTTATTTGTTGTTCACGTTATGTAATTTATAAACTGAAATTTATATTTAAGTTGACATTATAATATTATGTTTAAATTAACAATTTAAGTATTTTGTCCAAACTGTTCAAAAGTTATAGTTTTAAATTGATAATGGTTTACATACAACAACATATTAAATTTAATAAATTAAGTATAATCTATTAAAAGTTAAAGACATAACTTTATAAGTAGAAGTAAATATGTTATTTAAATATTGAAATTTAGTTTATTTATGATTACACTTTAGGTTTGATATTTATTTAACCTTATTAACTAACTTATAATCATTATTAGAAAGACACTACAATTTATCATTTTTAACTATTTACAAAATATTATTTGAGGTTGTTTAAGTTAAACTAAAATTTATATTTAAGTTGATTCTGTAATGTTATATTTAAATTTATAATTTAAGTATTTTATACAAATTTTTCAAAAGTTGTAGCTTTAAAATGATAATGGTTTACACCTAACAATATATTAAAACTAATAAATTAAGTATAATATGTTAAAAGTTAAAAAACATAACTTTATAAGTAGAAGTAAAGATATTCTTTTAATATTGAAACTGAGTTTATATATGATTACACTTTAGGTTTGATATTTATTTAATCTTATTAACCAACTTATAATCATTATTAGAAAGAAATTGAAAAGTCATGGTAGTTTCAAATGAATGTGGTGAAAGGAAAAATGTTTCTTTTATACAAATTGTTCAAAAATTGTAGCTTTAAAATGATAATGGTTTACACCCAACAATATATTAAAACTAATAAATTAAGTATAATATGTTAAAAGTTTAAAAAACATAACTTTATAAGTAGAAGTAAAGATATTCTTTTAATATTGAAATTTAGTTTATATATGATTACACTTTAGGTTTGATATTTATTTAATCTTATTAACCAACTTATAATCATTATAAGAAAGAAATTGAAAAATAATAAGAGTTTCAAATGAATGTGGTGAAAGGAAAAATGCATAGAAGTTTCAAATAAATATGGTGAAAGAAAAAATGTTTCATTTATAAGTATATATAGATTATTTGCATTTTAGCCATTAATATTTAATATCAATATTTATTTATTATTAGTAGTAGCAAACAAAGAGTGTGCATACCTCTTTAGTGGCAGTTAAAGAAGCTTGCCATATTGCTCGAACTTTAGACATTTTTTTAGCTCCTTAAAAACCCTATGAATTTAAACAATTACAACAAATTTTGGAATTTATTGTAATACATATTAAACAAAATTAGGAAGTATTTGTGAAGGTCATGAATCATGGAAGTGAAAATAATTTCACAATGTATTAGCAAACTTTTGGGAAATGGGAAGTATTTAAGGCGTATTTGGTTTTTGAAAGGAATTGGAATTTTGTATGTGTTTTTAGTTGACATGCAATTGGATTGAATTCTTTGTTGTTTTCTATCTGGTTTGCAAAGGCATTGGAATGGAAACTATGTAAATGACCAAACTACTCTTTATTGGTTTTTTGTTATTTTTAAATTTACTATGAATATTTTTATTCATGAAACTCTTTTAATAAAGTTAAATTACAATAAAAGACTAACATATCAAGTGATCAAAATTTCTAAAACATAATAATTTGCGGGTATACACTTTTGAGAGTTAAAAGTTAAAACTGATTTCAACTCAAGATGCCCTTCTCTACTGCCTACCCTCTTTATTTAAGAAATCTCAAATGGAAATTATCCTTAAAATTTTAAGAAACAAATTTAAAATAACAATCCAAAACTCAGTTTCAAAGAAAATCAAGAGTCTAGACAAAGTAGGGTTCTACTTTTAGTATTATCTAGCATGTCTATTAAACGAATGAAGATCAGGACTTCTTCCACTTGTTTTACGTGACAATCAAACCAAAAGAGCTTAAACAGTTGTACCCATGAAAGTTTTAAACAATTATACCCTACAATTGTTTATTAAGAAGAAAAGGTAGGCAGGAAAGAGAATCCACTTTTCTATCATACTCTTCCTTTTCTATCATACTCTTCCTTTTCTATCCTTCTCATGAGAGAGAAACCTACTCTTCATTTCTATCATTCCATAAAGTTATCCTACCATTCCAAGCTTTTAATAGGAAAATATCCTTCTTTTCTACCCTTCCAATCTTTTAAAAGAAAAGCTATCCAACAATTCTTTTATTATAATTATTATTATTACTGTTGTCCAGTTTAATATCACATAGAATTATATATATATATATATATATATATATATATATATATATATATATATATATAAACTACTTTATAATATATACATAAATTGGACCACCAAAATTTTAAGACCAAGTCTTAAAACAAGGAGAAGAATTTCCAACCACTAGATTTCATTAAATTTAATTTGGATGGTATAGATTAAAGGATGGGTGTTGATCCAAATGAATAAAAATTGACCAATAAGAAACAAATACTTTCATTTAACCCATCACACATTGTCTATAAATTGACCTCATACTCTCCAAGTTATTAAAAAACTCTTTTTTTTCTCTCTCTAAAAAGCAGTTTCTACCGAAGCTAATACAGTGACCCTTCGACGCCCCCTCTGTTGCCACAACCTTCATCAATCAATCCCATAAAAACCCAACACTCTACTGCTATTGTCTTTAACAATACATTTTAGGTCTCCCTACTACTACAAACGCATTCAGCAACCTCAGTCTAAATCTCCAAACTTCGTACAACAACCATCACCGTTGTTGCACCACCGCCACTGCCACCTCTACATCAGCGGCCCACCTCTCTTATTCCACCATCATGTCACTTTCACTCTATGAAAATCCTACATCTAAAAATGCACTTACCGCTTTTTCCTTAACCACCAACTGATAACAGTATTCACCACCGATCCAAAGCTCTAGATCCATCCTCAACATAATCTTTTATCTTCACCATGGGCACTCTAGAAAGACCTTAAGTACTGTCAAGTTCTAGGTCTTTTACGACAAAGATTTTGTTTCTCTTTGTAGAATGACATTTTTCTCTTTGTTTTTGTTAATGGTTTTATTAGTTTTGCATTTACATGTAGATCGATGGTTCTTGGATATCTAACTTTGTTAAAATGTCTATAGATTGGCGTTTTTACTCTTTATAGTGGAAAAGTGGTGTTATGGAAGAAGTTTATGTATACAGTTCGTTATTTTCATATCTATCTTTGTTATTGCTTTTGTTTTTTGTGTGTGTTTGTGCGACCAAGATTATTTGTTCTCAAGCTTTATAAACTTGTATGTTTAATGTTCATATGTTTGAAATGTTTTGTTGAAGCTTTTATAAGATACACGAAATCTTGAAAAATATGATTTTTGGTCATATTTTTGCAATTTGAGTTGTATATATATGTTCATTTTTTGCATTTTCGCTTTATAAACTTTGGAATGTAATAAAGCTTTGAGGTTTAAATTATATTTTATTTAAATAAAGTAGAAAATATTAATAAGTATAATGTAAATTGATATTGTAAGTAAGAAATCTTGAATTTATTAAGTGTATATTTTTATTTCACAGTGTATGTTTTGCTCTAGAATCCAGATTCTTGTAATCTATACCTGATCTTTGATATAAGTCCAAGTATTTATATTGTCCAACTTATTTGGATATTATATTGTACTTTGAACAGAAAACAGATAAAATGACATTCAAAACTTTATAATATTTGATAGTGTGAACATTGTATTATCATAAAAGTAAAAGCATATGATTTGGTTTAGTGTGTTTGGAAAAGTATTTAGCTGTTAGGCTAGAATAATGAATCGCTATTTTTATTAATCACCTTCCTATGATGTACTTATCACCTATTATTGGCTAAGGCAATAGGTTTTTATATACTTTATGTATCTATCATAAAATAACCATATCTGTTTTCTTTTATTTTTAATTAATTTTTTAAAAAAGTTATTACTTAATTTATCTTATCAATATTATTCAATAAAATCTCTACATGTTTCTCCAACAAAATTTTCAGATCACCAACTCTAATTGACAAAACTTTACATGTAAAAAGAAATATAGAAACATTTATTTAAATATATACAAGGATACAATATTTAAAACATGAAAAATTATAATAAAAGTTGAATCACATAATATTATTATTATTTGTTTTATTTAAATGTAAAATATAATATATATTAATTTTACAATATTTAAATATAAGCAATATAACTTTCATAACAAAAATAATAAAAATTATAATAAAAAAATCGGTACTTTTTTATTTCACTTTCACTCGTGCTTTGAACATCAATTTTCTATTTGTTACTTAATTATAATATTTAATTATCTAGATATATAAATATAATTTATATATTATAATATTAATAAATTTAATAAGAAGGGATAAAGTAGTTTCTTAGTAAGATATATAGATAAAATTAGCCATAATGAATATCTATAAAGCATTCCCCCGTTTTTAAAAAAGAAACTGCAAAAAGATATAATGAAGCAGTAAAACTTTTTTAAAACTATCAAAAAGATGTCTTTGACATATTGGTTTGATGGTGATTAAACGTGACAAGAAAAGTAGATCATTTATAGTGTTTAATAGGTTATATAGAATTTTATTATATTTAATTTATTTTAAGATTTGAAAAGATGGGCCTTAT